ATATGATGTTGAGACCAAGGTTCCTCAAATCAGCCACAGGTTCTTCAAATCCTTCTGGACCTGCTGGAGCTCTGCCCAATCAGCCTGGACCAACCAATGATTTCTATAGTGGCGTCCCAAAGAGGCCTTCCCTTTTTATGCTGCAAACTGTCAACAAGTTTGAGAAGTATCTTGACGAATGCTGCAAGTGGATTACTGAACTAGAGCAGCTGGTTCAAATCGAGAGCAATAAAAGATCATCTTCTTCTGTGGAATCTCTACCAAAAGTTATGTCGAATGTGCATGACTATTTCATCTATGTCGCTTCAAAGGTAACATCTTATTATTCATCTATGTTACTTCTATGGTGACACCTTGTTTATACGGAAATGAGAAATCTAACATGTACTGTTCAAATTAGTATTTTTGAAGTTGCGAACATGATATCTGTCATTTATTGTTGATTATTAGTGCCTATATATAAGGCAGTTAACTGATGAATTTTCTAGTAAAATCAAATAGTATATGGACAATATAAGAGGGGGAAAAGTTTTTGTTATTGTGTCGATGGAAACTGAATATCTGATGTTACTTTCTGTACAGGTGGAAAATCTTCATCAGTATGTTGTGTCGATGAAAACTGAATATCTACATGGTCAGCGCCGTCTGGGCAATGCAAATGATCCATTTCTAGAGGCAAATAGAAGAGAAGCAGCCAAAGAAGAAGCAGCTGCCAAAAGGGTCCATCCGACATTGCACTTGCCTGCTCCTGTACAGCCCACAACACAAGTTGCTGCACCAGCAACAAGCCAACCACAGCAATCTTTGCTCCCTTCTGGAGGAACTTCCTCGAGTGCCTTCACAGCTTTTAGCATGCCGGCCTCTGCTCCATCCACTTCAAGTCTCTTTTCAACACCAACAACTTCAAGTCTCACAACTAACCTTTTCGGTACAACTGGATCAGCCTCGCTGTCCACACCATTTGGGACATCCTCCACTCCCACTCTTGGATCAACACCAACTCCGTCTGGATTTGGGGGTATCACCCCATCTTTTCCTTCAACACCTGCTTTAACTGGAACTTCACTATTCTCTACGCCATTTGGAGGTACTCAAACTTCCTTGTGATGTATGTTACTTGATGTTCATTTCAATTGACCTCTGGTCATGAGGGTAAAGGTTCTATGAGAAATGTCAGTTGCACACAGTAAAACCAAAATCGTTTTATGTGCTGTACTGCATTACTTTGATGGCTCTCCCAGATCCGAATGGTTTGAAGTGTTTAGAAATTTGCATTACTTTGATGACTCCCATAGTTTTCGCTGCAATCTGAATGTATCCTTGCTGCAAATTGTTAGTATCAGCAGTTCAGCACCGCTGGGATCTTTAAAAATCTTGTACAGTATATGCTGCAAAACCGCTAATCTTGTTATTTGAGGCGACATGTTCTCAGTTGAACGCTGAATCCCTATGGTGATTCCCAGCAGTTTTGGCGTGTCTGCATTTTTCTTTCTTATGGCATATTTCCCCTCCAAGGCAGTACTCTTCATCGGCAAATCCGAATGTATCGATCCGAGTTGAGACCCACCTACAGAAATTGATCCATCAACGGCTTTTTCTATAGTGGCAGGAAGTCTCCAACTCATGAGCAGCTAACTTCTTTTTCTGAGCAGCTTCATAAAATTTATAGACCTGTCAATTTCCTCCTGTGTACTGCCCAACACTAGACCACTATCTACAGCAGATTTTACTAGACTAGCAGAATCAATGGAATTGCAAATAGCATATCTGTTAGTTGTAGCTGCAATGGAATTAACTGTGTCATCTAAATGTTAATACCTTAGCGCAATCTGTTGATGACAGCACTAGTGTACGTGATCTGTGCATCAGTACTTCAGCTAGTTATAAAAAAGCTAGCATGTCTGCGCATACACTGACACTGCTTTACTTTACGTCATTTTTTAATTTGATTTGTTAGTATCGTTACTGCCCATGTCGTGACTCTATACTTTCAGTAGAACTAAACAATGTTTTCCCTTGTTAATTCATTTCTGTGATTTGTATGACATTCCATTTGTGTACCTACCTACAGGTGGTGCTACAGCTTCCGGGTCCAGCTTTGGTGGCACATCTGTGAGTAAATTTCCCATCATCTTACGACAGCATCCTTTGTTCATTAGCAGTAGTTGACAATGCCAAGCACAAGTTTTTTGTTTGTTTGTTTCACACACGATGTAGTATGCTGTCAGATCGTCAATCTCCTCACACCTTGTTATTTTTGTTCGGTGCAGAAAGGGAGGTCAAAGGCCCGAGGCCGGCGCTAGACGTGACTTGATCGGCTGTGAAATGCGGGCGGGCGCCTCTTGTATCTCCTGTCTACTGAGAAAAGAAAAAACTTGTAATTAATTTTCCAGGCAATTCTACCGGTGGAGCTTGGGTGACTATCTATCTTGTCAATTGCCTGGTACCAGATTCATTTGTCTAACGCTTGTTGTTAGCATCGTTCTGCCTGTGGACTATCTATCTCAGTGCTAACAGAGCTAAGCTTCCTATTTTTAGAGGCAAAGGTTGTAAACTTGTAATGGCACAACTAGTTTGTGATTGTCATTGCAGAACCTTGGTCTTGCAGCCTGTCTAGTGTTTTATTTATTTTGTCATCACTGGAGCATAAATTTTTCGGGGTTTCTTTTCGATTCGGGCTGTTGGCTGCTGGGCTAGGAGAAAATTGACACTCCTTCCAGTGATTCTCATTGCTTATTGTTATGGTGATGATGAAGCTGCTACGACCTGTCTCGTTCTGGGGAACGGGCACGCAGGTCAAAGATTGTGTTATGTTAATTACTCTTATGTGGCACTCTGCGTGTGGTGTCGTGCATGGATGCGTGAATGCACGGCACCAGCACTTGAGTATGAAGCCTTTTTTCTTTTTCTCAATTCTGTTTCTCGTTTTGACTGGGACGTCCTGATGAGTGAAGCTCCCGCCTTTGTGCACACAAGGGGAGGAGGGTTGGCACATTGAGAAGCTAGTTTTCAACCCAAGCATATGCATATCCATTTCCCATTTTTGAACGAACGAACTCGGCAGTGTTCAGCACGTCACGTAGGTTGTGGCAGCAGCGGCACGGTCGTCACCTGATCGCGACGGATCCTTCTTCCTCCCTGATGAGAATCGTCAGCGCTTACGACCTCTGCTGCTCCCGGTTTTCCTGTTGCAGTTATCCGGTCGATTGGCAGCAAAGCAATTCTGATTGCCACCGTGCCCAACCAATCACTGGCCAGAGAGGCCTCACTCACCGTCACTGGGGCAGCGGGGCGATACCGATCACGTGGTGTAATAAAGAGACGAGCCACTACGCATAAACATTGCTTCACGTTACCGTCAACGGAGCTACACATAAACATCTGTACTCTGCCATCTGCAGCGGCGTTTCCTTCTCTGAGAGGTAGCGGCCTGGCCTGTCCGGTCTAATTTGTCTCCGTTAAACTTTCCAGTCGTTATCTAGGATCTTTTTCCTCTTCCGAAGGGTCTCGATCTTGGCCATTCTCCTCCATGCTTCATTTTGGTTTGCAATTCTGTAAAAACCCAGAAATTATATGGGAAATGATAGTAGAAAATGCCATGGTTTCCTACGCAACCTTTGGACAAACGAACGGTATTCTTTTAAACTGGTTTCCTACGCAACCTTCCCAGTGGAGGTGCCAGAAAAATTGTCTTGCGTAGTCAATATGAATTTGTGTGGTCAACTATATGAATTTACACAAATTTATTTCAATATTTCTACACCTATAAGCTAGTTTCACCAAAAAGCTGGGTAGTCAATTGACTACCCAGCTTGTACGTGGCTTCCCCACTGCACCTTCCTATAAAAATTGACCACCATTCGCATGTATCCGAGACATTTTTTTTGTCTCGTCTAAAAGTAAATCCAGCAGACTCGAATCGTCATGATAACTGCTAATGTGCTTTTAGTAATTAAAAAAACCACGAAAACAGAATCATCGTAATTTATGAGGCGCCCTCTATATCTGGCCTCTCAATCTTCAAATTTACGCCTCGGAGCCAACTTTTAAAGTGCGCTTCCTCCAAACCAAATTGTTTGGCACAAAGGAGATTTTCACGTGGGAATCGAAGAGGGATCGGAGGGAAATGATGTTTCATTGACGAGTGAGTCATATTAATACGGGTGCAACCAATACAAAGACGCCGAGTTTGCGCATCACCTTGACGGTCTTCATATGCACATGGAGCGCGCTCCATACCCATTTTGATGACGGTTCGTCTCTACCAGAGCTACTCTAATCAACCATTCGCACTTTTCATATTTTGCAGTTGTCTGCTTTACCTTGCATTCCTACAAAATCATCGTGTCTTTTTCTTGCTTTCTTACGTTTCTCGACCATGCGTTCCATAGACTTCCTAAAAATTGATGGTAAAAAAAAGCTCGATGCACGATTGCAAAGACAAACATATTATTTCCTCTCGCGGTTTCTCATTCAGTAAAAATGATGGTATAACAGTTAGTAATAAGTTTGCTCATTTCTCACTGTTTTCTTCTGTCGTTGAACCCATTTCCAATAGTAATTACCGGGAAAATTCTCAAAAATGTGCTTGGGGCCAGTGGATGTCCACCTCATCGTCAACAGTGAGCGCGCACGCGTCTATATACAGCACCCGCCCGTCGCCTCGCGCTTTCCCTCCCCCGCAACGCCCACATCGCCGCCTACCTCATTGACCGCCGCCGTTGACCTCGCCCTCCGGCGAGGCCAACTCGCCAAGCACTAACCCCCCCGCCGCCGCCGCCTGACCCCGCCGCACCTCCCCCGAGCCAGCGCCGCCCGACCCACCGGCCTCTCTCCCGGCTCGCCGCGGCCTCGCCATCCCCCGCCCAGCCGCCCCGCCAGTCGAACCCCGGCGGCATGGTCTGCAATCAGTAGCCGATCGCGTCCCCCGTTGCTCGTTCTCCCCCGACCGCCCAATCCAGCTCTTCTCGGTAACACTACGGCTCCTCTGCTTGGTCGCCATGGCGATCCGCATCACCGTCTCCTACTCCGGCTACGTGGCGCAGAACCTCGCCGCGTCGCTCGGCCTCCGCTGCGGGTCCTCCGCCTCCGCCGGGTGCCGGTTCCTCCAGGAGGGGTCGTGGCGCCCCTTCTGCATCTTCACCTCCTCTCGCCACCAGCCCGACCGCCTCCGGGCCAGCGACGGTGACCGCCATGACGCCGCCGACGACCACAACCACCCCAAGCCTCAGGCCCTCGCTGCCGCCGCCGCTGCCGCCTCCGGAAGCCACTCTCTTTTCCCTTCGAGGCCCTACTCTTCGTCCAAGCCGCCGCCGCCGCCGCCTCTCGCCGTGGGGTTGCTGTCGGTGCTCGCCCAGGGTTCGACGGCTGGGTCGTCGACGGCTGGGATCTCCGGCGCCGCGTCTCTGGCCGGATCGTCGTCGATTTCGATCGGGCTGTTCAACCCGGCGCACCTCCTCCCGTTCTTGCAGACCGCGAGGTGGCTCCCCTGCAGCGACCTTGCCCCCTCCTCGTCTTCGGCGCCATCGTCCCCTCCTCCCTCGCCACCGCTGCCTTCGACCCGTCCCTCCAGGAAGACGTTCAGCGGTGTTCCACCCGCCGGAGCTTCCGCTTCTGCTTCTGGCGCGATTGCCCGGAACATCGGTGCTAGTGCCACAATGAGCAGGAGCAACTGGCTGTCCAAGTGGGTGAGCTCGTGCTCCGACGACGCCAAGACGGCCTTCGCCGCCGTGACCGTGCCGCTGCTCTACAGCTCCTCCCTTGCCGAGCCGAGGTCCATCCCGTCCAAGTCCATGTACCCGACCTTCGACGTCGGTGACCGGATTCTCGCCGAGAAGGTAAAACATTTTAGGGAGGATTATCTGATGATTAATTTGTCATTTTGCTCGCTCTACTTGGTTTCTGATCTTTGTTGTAATAATGTGATCTGTAGGTGTCATATGTGTTCCGGGAACCAGAAATCTTGGACATTGTGATCTTCCGTGCTCCCCCAGCTCTTCAGGTATGATGATTTCCACTCTCTCCAATTTAGTGTTTCCATGGTTCATCATACTGGTGAATTTGATGCTAATTTGAGTGCAATGTTATGGCAGGATATGGGGTACAGCTCCGGTGATGTGTTCATCAAGAGGGTTGTGGCCAAGGGAGGGGACTACGTCGAAGTAAGCTTTTATCCCAGTGGTAGTGCCTTGTGTTTGTTTCTTTGCGTTGCTACTAGTAATTTGTTGTGCTTGTGCTGCAAAAAGTTTGATTCTTTGCTCGAGCCGAGCTATAACAGTTGTTCACTTGGTTCTTCGATAGGTGCGTGATGGCAAGTTACTGGTCAATGGGGTACTTCAAGATGAAGAATTTGTGCTGGAGGCACACAACTATGAGATGGAACCATTGGTATGTTTATCTTCTGTGTCTAGTCTCTAGTGTCTCTGCCACCGCGTATCTTGTATTCTGTGAGCTATGCCATCATTGTACATTATATGATCTTTGAACATTTAGGCCTTTTTGCGGTTGTTTTGCTAAATTGAGCTGAATTCTGGGACCTGTAGTTTGTTACTCCCTCCGTTCACTTTTATAAGTCGTTTCAGACAGCTGAAAATGAACTGATTTGCATGTTGTCTGAAATGTCTTCAAGGACTTATAAAAGTGAACAGAGGGAGTAGTAGAATACGGAGTATTTACTAATGCAAGTAAGATTATTCTGTTAGTGTCTAAAGAAGAAATCTTTGTAACAAACTTTTATACCTAGCGAATATAAATAAATAAGCGCTTATGAAAAGCCACCACAATGACAAAAGGAGCCTTAGCTGACATGATCCCATTGAAATGTTTGATTTTTGGTCAAAGCAAACAGAATCTGAAATTTTAGAATGAATTTGGCATTAAAAGTATCAATTGCGCCGCATACCGGCCCACTAGTAGCAGAGAATATTTCACCCAGCGTTGCATATCTCCTTGCATATTCATACATGACAATGCCTATAGAAATGCCAGCCTTTCCGATTTCCGCGAACTAATCGCTGCTGTTATTCTTGCAGCTTGTGCCGGAAGGGTATGTGTTTGTGCTGGGAGACAACCGTAACAACAGCTTAGACTCCCATAACTGGTATGCTCCGAGCTCCATTTTCATCCCATAAGCTTCAGCTACATAGTAGAATCCAGGTTTGATTACTTTTGTGATCTGTGGTGTTTCAGGGGGCCGCTCCCGGTGAGGAACATACTCGGCAGATCCGTGTTCCGGTACTGGCCACCGTCGAAGATAACGGATACAAGATACTACCAACCCGATGCGGCGCTCTACGCGGTGGGGATGTCGTGACGACACGTGCCTCCGGCGATGCCGTGGCAACCAATCCTCTTGTTTCATCGAGAGTTTGTATTTAGAACTGTGAATGAATTCCCGTTCCGTTCGTTTTTCGCTGCCTACTGGCAGGCGCTTGTTAAAAGACCACGAAAAGCTTGGTTATGTGTAGAGACTAGGAGCAGCTGCTGAGGGAGCATTCATTCATTCATTTTGCTTCAGAGCTGGACCATTTTTGTTCTGCTTCCAGCAAGCTGGCTGGGAGATGTAAGGTACAGTATATTTGAAAAAAGAAAAAAAATGTAAGGTACAGTATATTAGAAAAAAAAGACGAATGCAAATGCAATGGCCAGCTGCTCTGTAGTTTTTCGTGTGTGTACTGAAACAGCTTTTTTTTGCTTACTGTCGAAACTGAGCTGGCATTGTGATTTTAGTGTAGTGAAGTCTGAGTTTCATCTGAATCACGGGTGAATTACTGCCCTCTTTTAGCGTGAGCTACTACCTCCGTCACGGTTTAGAAGGCGCGTTTGGAAATTCTTTGGGACCTAGGTGGTTATCTATTGGTTATGAGATGGGTTAAAAAATAACATTCACGCTATGCATGCATATAGAAATAGTATATCGGAGTACTAATTAGCTACTAGAAATAAATGCAATGCGCCCTAAACCTTGTCTATTGTGGAAACGCACGCAAATTTAACTATGTCTTCTAAACCGTGACGGAGGGAGTATTACATTCTCTATTTTATTTAATGGGAATTACATTCTCTTTTAGTATGACGTGAGTTGTGCCGCAGCCAACGATTAGTTGCAAATATGATAGCTTGTGATGCTTACGTGTTCATGGTAGAAATAGAAATGAGGCTGCATATATGCCTTGTTTTTATTTGAAAAAATAAACTCTTGACATCCTAAAATGCTAAAAATTTCTACCGTTAGCTGATGTTATCTGAGAAAATGGTGTTGTTTACTATTCCCTCTCTTTTCTGCGAGTTGAATCAAATGTTACACAATGGGACATGATATCAGTTACCAATGGACCATTGGGTCAACTCCATGCCCTTGAGCAAAACAGAGGGTCGGCCCATTCCCATCCCAGGACCCGACCCCTGGCCCGTCTTTTGGCAGCATTGCCCCTTTTCACGCTTCATCGTCAGCACGCGTGCGCAGCACCTGCGACGCCCAGGCCGATCGGAGCTCCCGAACGGGTCCCTGGCGCTCATGCACCCGTGCTCATGGGCCAGCCCAAGAAGAAGGCAAGTGCTCATGGGTCCTGGTCGCTCGATCATGCTTGATCGCTCAACCGTTGACTTTTTTTCTTTTGATGTTCCCTCAAGTTAGGGTTTCTCTTTCCTCTCGGGGCGATCTACGTCGCCGCCGTTGAGACCTGAATTTCCCTACCTCCGCCGTGGTCCGCGACCTCTGATCCTGGACAGGGGGCGCGTCTGGCGCTCACTGATCCGGGCGGACGTGGGAGGAGGAGGCTTTTAGGGTTCCTGAAGAAGGCCCGATTGTCTCTAGTCGGGTTAGGGATCGAGAGCAGATGGCATCGGATGGTGCTTCGGGTTCTGATACGGCAGGCCGATCGGAGATAGACGGTGTGGCGTCACTGATGAAGGAACTTGGCCTGCGGGAAGAGGATCTCGACGACGTAGTTTTTGATGACAAGACCGCACCGCCAGAGGCGGCTCGTTGGATTGCGCTCGCGAAGGTTCACTGTCAAATCATATAGTCAATATTGGTTTTTCAAGAACATGAGAGCTGCATGGGATCTTGCCCAAGAGGTACAGTTCAAGCCGTTAGAGGATAACTTGTATACGATCCAGTTTTCATGCTTGGGAGACTGGGAGAGAGTAATCCAAGATGGGCCTTGGCACTTCAGAGGAGACGCTGTTATCATTAAGCCCTATGATGGTTTGGCGAAACCTTCTACTGTCCAGCTTGATACTATTGATATTTGGGTGCAAATTCATGATGTACCCCCTCTGTATGCTCATCTAGTCCCATCTATGGCGGCAAAGGTGGGTGAAGTTCTATTTGCTGAACCACTTTCGCAAGATTTTACGGAGAATTTCCACAGAGTATGCGTGAGGATCAACGTTACTAAGCCTTTGAAGAATGCTGTCTCTATGATACGGGAGGGAAGGAGGCAAATTTACAGATTGAAATATGAGAAACTACCTGATTGGTGTGCGGTTTGTGGCATGTTAGGCCACTTATTCAAGGAGCATGGTACGGGGATCCACCCTCCATCTGCACTTGTTTTCAAGGAGCTGAGGGCATCTTGGGTGATGCGGACATGCCAAGGCCCCGGGGGTGGCCGCGGCCGTAGAGGCGGGGGTCGTGGAGGCCGTAGTGGCCGTGGACACAGTGCAAGATCCGAGCATGAGGCTGCCCACGCTGGGGGAGAGGAGTTTGATGAGGACAAGGATACACAGATGGATGAGGCGGAACGCAACAAGAAGAGGACGCAGCAAACCGTGATGGAGACCGCTCAGAACTCAGGGGGATCTGTCACCGGGGATGTGCTAGCCTTGCCCCCGCCACAGACACCGTTGAGCCCGCCACCGAAGCATGAGCTGAAGAGAGCGAAAACAGGAATGATAAATGAGAAGAGTACACAAGAGAAGAGCAACAAGAAAGGCAGCAAATCGTCAGATGCAACATCGGCGGACTCCCAGGTAGAGTACCGTCGGGCACAATGAGTCTCCTCAGCTGGAACTGCCGCGGCGTGGGCAAGGCCGCGACAGTCCGAGAGCTCCGTGAGCTAGCACGGAAATTTGCCCCTACCCTGCTATGTATCGTGGAAACCCAGATTGATAGAGTTAGGGTAGAAAAACTAGCAAGTACTCTTGGTTACGATAATGCTTTTGCTGTTAGTAGTCAGGGCCGGAGTGGTGGCCTCGGAATTTTTTGGAACAGTCCAATAAATATTGAAATTCTTGGTTATTCAATGTATCATATTGACTGTAAGGTGGATGAACCAGGAAAGGAATCTTGGAGGGCCTCGTGTTTCTATGGAGAAGCACAAACGCAGCTAAGGTACCAGACTTGGGATACGATGAAGGGGATTGCGTCTTTGAGTGAGCTGCCGTGGATTTGTTTTGGGGATTTCAACGAAGTACTGCGTCCGGAAGAACATGAAGGAGTCGGAGAGCGAAGCAATGCCCAAATCCAGGGCTTTTGGGATGCAGTTGATATTTGCATGTTGGAAGATATTGGCTATCAAGGTAATTTTTGGACATGGGAGAAAAAGGTCACGGGAGGAAGCTACACCCGCGTCCGTCTGGATAGAGTGCTTGCATCAGCTGAATGGGTTGTCAGATTCCCGAATGCATATGTGAAACACCTCACAACGGCGTCAAGTGACCATTGCCCGATCCTGATTAATATGGAGGATACTCAAGCTCGTCCTCCAGCCAAGCCACCTTTCCGTTATGAGGTGATGTGGGAGACACATGAGGAATGGAATGATACATTGAGACAATGCTGGATCGGTGATCAGCCGGCGCTGAACCCGAAGGAGCTACAGACTAAACTTACTAATCTGGGAAGTAACTTGGGCAGGTGGAATAGAGAGACTTTTGGGAGTGTCCGAAAGGAGATAAAACAGCAGCTTGAGGAGCTTGAGCGGCTTCGTGGGGACCCAGCAAGAATGGGGCTGTCACATCGTGAGATTAAAGTCAACGAACGATTAGTTGAACCCTATCATTGTGAAGAGCTTATGTGGCGACAACAGCCGAGAATTGAATGGTTAGCTTCGGGGGATAAGAATACCAAATTTTTCCACCTTCGAGCAAGTAGGAGAAGGAAGAAAAACATGATAAAGGCCTTAGTTAATGCGCTTGGTGTTACTGTTGAGGAGCCAGCCAAACTAAAAGAGATGGTTACGGATTTCTATAAAAGCTTGTACAACACAGAAGGGGTCACAGACATGGAGAGGGTCCTCCAACATCTACCTGCTAAGGTTACACCTCAGATGAATGAGATGTTAGTGGCACCATACACAAAAGAAGAGGTCAAGAAGGCTCTCTTTCAAATGGGCCCGACAAAGGCAGCAGGCCCAGATGGATTCCCAGCACAGTTTTACCAAAAACATTGGGAAATCTGTGGAGATGAAGTGACCACGGCTGTCTTGATGATAATTAAAGGGGAGGAGAGCGCAGAGTGTGTTAATGACACGGTGCTGGTGCTTATTCCTAAGGTGATGAACCCGACACTCTTAACGCAATTCCGTCCTATCAGTTTATGTAACGTCATATACAAAATTTCTTCCAAAGTTGTTGCAAACAGGTTGAAACTTATCCTACCGGAGATAATATCAGAAGAGCAATCTGCGTTTGTGCCAGGTCGGTTGATAACTGACAATATCATTTGTGCTTATGAATGTCTGCACTTTATGAAGCGAAGCAAAGCCAAAACAAATAGTCATTGTGCGTTGAAGTTGGACATGATGAAGGCTTATGACAGATTAGAATGGCCGTACCTCGAGGCTATCATGCTAAAATTGGGTTTTGCACATCAATGGGTACAGATCATAATGAGCATGGTTAGCTCAGTATCCTTTTCAGTTCTGTTCAATGGAGAGAAGCTTGAATCTTTCAAACCATCACGGGGTATCCGATCTCCCCCTATCTTTTCTTGATCACAACAGAGGGCCTTTCGTGCCTACTAAAAAACAGTTCTCAGTCATCTGCGCTTGAGGGGATTAAGGTGGCAAACACAGCTCCGCTGTCAACCACCTCCTCTTTGCGGACGACAACCTGTTGTTGTTCAAGGCTAGTACAGAGGGGGCAAAGAAAGTATCAAACCTTTTGGAGGTATACTGTAATGCATCGGGTCAGCGAATCAACAACGACAAGTCATCTATTTTCTTTAGTAAAGGATGTCCATAACATATGAGAGATAGTATCAAAACGATCTTAAATGTTCATAATGAGTCACTGAACGAGCGTTACTTGGGTATGCCAACGGATGTGGGACAATCCAAGATGAATACGTTCAAATATCTCAGAGAT